TGTCGACGATGAGATTAGAGAGGAAATTATATTCCTCCAACGGCGGAAGCTCTTCCACTGACGATACTGTATCGCCTATCGCGGATTGGAACTTAGTCCAATCGATGTTACGGGTTAGATCATACGCGACGTTAACGGATTCTGACGAGTTGAACCCACTGGCAATCGAAATTTTGATCGGCAGATGATCACTACCGTGCGGATCCTGGATTACATACCAAGTGCAATCCAACGATAGTGAATTAGAGCAAAAGGTGAGGTCTAATCTGCTACCATTCGAGGATGGACCAGCCAAACGTGTTACTTCTCCATTGTTAAGTATTGTCATGTTGAAGTTGTCGCAGAGATCATAAATCAAAGTAGAACGGTTATCATCGTACATCTCCCCCCAGCCTGTACCGTGGGAGTTAAAATCTCCCATGATCAACCATGGAGCGGGAAGTACCGCACATATGTCGAAAAGTTGTTTACGATTAACAGAGACTCTAGGAGCAATATATACAGAAGCAATACAAAGGCTCTTACCTTTAATGGTAGCCTGACATGCGACAACTTCAATACCGGGGAATTCGGGAAGATTCACTCTATAGAAGGAATGGCACTTTTTGATCCCCAAAAGTACCCCTCCTCCACGTGAATCCTCACGATCCAATCGAATAATGTTAAAATCATAAAAAGGGAGATCAATTTCTGAAGAGAGCCATGTTTCACAGAGGGCAAATGCATCGCAATTATTGTTATGGACTAAATACTTGAACGAATCTAATTTCGGGATAAGACTTCGACAATTCCACTGTAGAACAGTGATCAAATCCCCGACCTCGTTTGGAAAATTATCCATCGAAGGAGATGATAGCTGCAAGAAGGGGCCATTTTGAAGTCAATTGCTTCAAGAAGGATTTCACAGTGGGAAGCAATGTGAGGACAATGCTTTTCAGAGGATCAGAAATGTTTAGGTATTTGAGAATACCGTCCACAATGTCATCAAATGAGAACAACCCAGATGAAGAAGGGGTTTCTGTTCTTAAAATTGGGGCATCAGGGGTTTTGGATGTCCCCGGAAGAGGTGGAAAATCCTGGGTATAGTCAGTTCTGCGGAATCCAGGAGGAGTAGAAGTCTCCTTTTTTCCACCACTCCTTGATTTGGGCAAGCTGATTTGGGGTTCTTTATTTGCAACAATCCGCGAACGGATGCGCTTTCGTTTCCGTGCAGAACCTTCCGGAAAACTGAAAGAAGTTCCCTCCTCAGCCAAGTCAGAGTCAGTCTCGTCATCTGACAAAAGAGAAAAAGGATTTTTGTCATTGGTCGATGGCGTGGCTGTCTTAAGCATTTCTGCAAAAGACCGCCTGGAACGTTCCTTAAGGGAGCGTTTCATTTTGTCCCCGAGCTGTTTGTACGCCGGGCACGACGAGAGAGCATGAGGAGGAGTTCCGTTGCAGTACACGCATTTTAGTGCAGTAGCTGCGCAGGCGCCATCCTCATGCTTCTCCCCGCATGTGGAGCAGCGTGCCTTGTTGCCGCAGTGGGAGGCCGTATGTCCCAACCGCTTACAATTCTGGCAGTTCATGACCCGAGGTACAAACAACCGCACAGGAAGACGAAGTTTTCCCAGCTCGATGTATTGAGGAAGGGCAGATCCAGAAAAGGTCACCCGAAACGAGTCTGTGGGGGTAAAACTCTTTTTACCCTCGCTGAGCGATACTGACTTCATTCTATGAACGGCCAGTATCTTTACCGGAGGAAGCAAGGGGTTCTTAAATCGGCCAACCGCTTGCTTCTCCAGTATCTCGGGGTTCAGGCTCGCCTCAGTGACCACGCCTTCGATCTCCACATCAGAGGCTGGAATGTACACCCTATATTCCAGTGTGAAAAACTGGGAAACAGCAATTTCATTGGCCTGTTTCAGGTTAGCGACGGTCACACGAAGTTTGTTGTGCCTAACCTTCGTTATTTCGGTCACGGCAGAGAATCGCTTTGTCAGATCATCAGATATCTGAACAACATTCAAGGGTTTGTTTTTGGGCTGAAAATAGACAACCCATGGGCCAGTCGAGTCATTCGGGTAGGACCGCAATCTGGAGCTTTTCTCAGCCTGCCCATTGTCAGACTGAGACGACGAACCATGGATGACATCATCATTTTTCTTAGATGAATGGTCATCCATGTCGTCTTCTGACAAAACATCCATTTTGTTCAACTAGTGGGAGCGCAAAACGCTCTCCCACTGAACGCACAGACACAATACACAGAAAACACTACAAACACAGAAATACAAAATGAAAATTTGACTAATGGGGGAGTAAAAGAAACAAGGAAAAAACAAAAACTTATCTGATAATCCTATACTACTACCACCGAGCGTTATATGTGTAGGCGTTTACGCAGATGGCTGGAAGAGACGCGCTGCGTGGATGACCTTCGTTGTGGTGCACTTGATCGAGGCTCGGTATTCAGCGCACACAGGCGCACGATGATTGATGAACGATGTAGATGTAGAAACGGGTGCTCACACTCGATGATGATGATACGTGCGCGGGTATGCGTAAGCGTGTATGCGTGACCACGCAACGATGATGCCCAAATTTGTTTGCGAATTTCCAATAGCACGGATTAATCTTTCCGAAAATGACACTTTCTACTAAAAAAAAAACTCACTTTTCGATCAATTTACCGGGAACTATGCCAGGAGTCACTTAGTGAGAAAAAAACTGATAATTTATATCAAGCGAATACCGAGAAAACTTCCAAAACAACGGAGCGCGAAACAAGTCGACCGTACTTCTTGCTAGGACGCAGTGAGATGATCGATACATTTTATGATTGATGAACTTACATTAATTTCAAGATTTGAAACAAATTGCGACATTCTGAACTCAATGGTCACTCGGCTTCCGACAGAAGCAGGCCACTTTCGATGTGTGTCACGCGATTGTCTGTGTGGTCCTCCTCATTGTTCTTCATTAGCAGTTATTTCGGTCGATGCGTCGTCGACTTTGGAAAGCAACCGTTTCGTGATGAGTGTGTAAGTGATGACTACGTTTTGCGTCCATTGCTGCAATTGAAGCGCTCTGTCCCTCGTTGGCGATACTGCCGAACAACGAAACCACTGGAAGCGGATCCCGTTCTGATGGAGGAGGCTTATTGGATAGCGGAAGATAAAATGATTATTGTTTTGTATAATGAACAAAAATGCTCGGCTCTGTAAAGTATATTCTATTGAGCCTTATCAAATAAATGAATAAACAATATTCCGAACAAAGTAAAAATTCAATCATATTGTGCTCCTCCCCCCCCCCCCCCCTTTGTATGACGCCTGGAGCCACCTATGGCGGTATGCTTTGGTTTATTATTCAGAAGGGCCTTGAAGCAGAAACAATCATAGTGACAGAGCATCAATAGAAGCGATACTAAATGATCGTGAGACATCATACAATTGATGACGCGGGTCCCATGCAGGTGCACAAAGAAAACAGCTTAGTTGGAAGAGCATTAGCGTGAGTTCAGAGTTCATTCGGCTATTGTCAGTCGGATGCGATGTTTACATTTGTACAAACGATCTTCAAACTGCATCTGAAGTGCGTCAGCTGTTTCAAGCTCCATGCTCTGCTGGTGAGTATGCTAATTAATCATACATTCATTCTCATTCGAATTAAACCCTGAACGCATGAGGTGGAGGATTTATTTTACCCTTGATTTGTTTTCCATCGATCTTGTTTTCCGTGATGAGCGCCAATGCTACCGACGCCAGGTAGGTACCTGGACCCTACCTATCGACCCATCAAACTCATGAACCGAGGACCAACGGCTTTACTTCCCTACTTTAGTCGTGATCAGAGATGTTATGCCTCAGAACATCCCGGCGGCGCCGACTGGGATTGAACCCAGGCCTGCTGGGGTAAGAGGTAATCACGCTTACCATATCACCACAGGCGAGGTGGAGGATAACTATTATTTAACCTAAACGACTGGAGCCAATGGATGAATCATATTTTACCGATACGTCACGACTTAATGATCCTTAAGGGGGAGCATTTTTGTTATACGTTTTGATTTTTCTAAAACTATTGGAAAAGATTTAAAATACCCAAGAAAATTAGTTTCATGGATTCTAGAAAAAATACTTGTTGAAATATTGATCCTATTTCACCATGAATAAAATCAACCCTAGACAAAACCAAATCGTCGATTTTTTCGATTTCTTGAGATCAACTTTTTGCCATGATGACTAACAACAATTAATTTTAAACGTGACTTTTTTTTAAGAATAGTAATTTTTTAAATCCTCTTTCCAATATTTTTGGAAAAAATATTTTTTATCGGGACAGTAAGCTGCATCTTAATATCCTTAAAAACTGCTGATTCACAATGCTGATTAATCATAATTGATGTAAGCCAGCCAGCACTAGCAAATCAGCACAATTGTAATCCGCGCATAATCCAAGCAGTTACAAAATACCAACCGGGTGGAATCTGACCAACCAACGGAATGTGACCCGTTTCTTGCTGCCATTGCTTGGGTATAGCTCGCCACAGATAATCATAGAGGAGAAAACTGGTCGGTTCCGTTTCGAACTGGAGATTCTTTCCTCCAGTCTCAACACATTTCAACAGTTTTATACGTTGGTGACTGTAAATCCCGGCCCTTGGCTGTCATTATATGGAAATCTAATTTGCGTGGCCGGAGTCAGGAGAGGGCGACAGCGGATTTAATTTTCTAAATGTTTACCGTTCTAGGCAACAGTACTTGGAACAAATTTTCTATAATTAATTCATTCGATACCCAACTAGAGAGCTCATCAAACATTGTAACTGAAATATATCACATGCAACCCACGTTTTACAAGTGTTTTCATTTAAAGCACTGACGCTGCTGCTCTCAAGAGCAGAGGAGATCAAAGGTGATCTTAATAGTCACTCATTAATCCGACCACAGGCGACAATGTTCAGACAATAAAATCAACCCGCTTCCGATCTGTTCCGCTTAGTTAACAAAGTTCCGTCGATCAAGAACGTCCTGAAGATTGTGGCAAGTTGTGAAAATGATACTAATACTGCTGGCGATATTCCTGGTGCTAACTGTGGTGCAATACATCCGGTTTCGGCGAAGCATATCATTCGCCAAGAATATACCATCCGTGGAACCAGTTTACCCAATTATTGGAAATGGATTGCTATTTCTGGGGAAGAGTGGTGAAGAATTGTTCAAAAACTTCTCCCAGGCGTTGAGTCATCCGGCAAAACTGTTTCAAGTATGGTTGGGAGTCATTCCGCTGATTTGCACCAACGATCTAAGTGTTGCGCAGAAGATTCTTACCCAGTGCCTGGAGAAGCCATTTTTGTACGATTTCTTCAAACTTGATCATGGTCTGTTCTCCGCGCATTGTGAGTTTGTGGTTGAAAAAAAAAGTAGGAACTTTATTATAAAGATACATAATTTGGGTACTGTTCACAGATCACATCTGGAAGGACCAACGAAAATCGTTGAATTCCACGTTTAACCAACGAATCCTGAATGGATTCCTTCCGATGTTCGATCAATGTGCCCGGAATTTGGTGCAGAAGCTGCAATCCTGCCCGGAAGGAAAGCCGATCAATATTATCGACTACACATTGCGATGTACGCTGGAGATGGTTTGTGGAACGACGTTCGGAGTGGATATCAACAAAAATCCGGGAGCGGATAAACTGTCCGGCTTGATTACAGAGTGAGATTGTACGATGACTGGAGAGACGGAAATTTTATCAGCAGTCTATTTAATTCGCTAGGATTTTCCACCTTGCTTCGAAGCGAGTTCTGAAGATGCATTTGTTCTGGGAAAGACTCTATCGAGTGACCAGTGATTATCGGTTGGACGTCGCGCTGAGGAAAGAGGCTTACTATTATGCAGATAAGGTAAGAATATCGAGAATATCAATATTAACATTGGAGAGAAAATAAAATCGTCACGGTTCATATGTTGTTGATTTTTGTTTGGTTCCAAGTGTCACCCCGTGATCAAACCACCGATAACATATGAATTTCTTAATGAGGTATGATACCTTATCTTGGTATGCTTATGGTTTATTATTCGTAGAACGTTTTTGAATTATTATTTTTGTATTTTATTTACTTCTTATGTCAGACTCGTCAGTACAATATTTAGGTTGGCAATAAAGCTATTTTCAAACCTGAATTTAGTATTTGACATTCAGATATGAAAAAGTTATTTTCTCCTGCTCGGGTAAGAATATCTCGATGCCATAAATTGGATTAGCCTGACATAAGAGGTAAAATGAAAAAAAAAAAAAACATTTTGCACAATAACACTACAATACCAAATTAAGCTAAAGTAATACCAAAACAATACGACACAGCCATTCATTTGGTATCCAAACATCATTTTTGAATTATTTACAAAGTATTTTGTATGCAATTGTATGGTACACCCAACCAGGGGATGTAAGATTTGCTTACAATTATGTGGGATTCATCATCAGAGGATGTTAGTGGAGATTGCATGAACCGTGCTGGAGTCCAATGCAAGAAAATGGAGAAAGAAAAATGTGGAGTGTATTAGTGAGTGAAATGAATCAGACCTTTTCTTTCCCCACTGTTTTTTTTCTCTATGTTTCGGGAAATGAATAGGCTAAAAGCTAACAATAGGGCTCATTTTCTCGCATACTCTACTTCGTTTGCTTTTCTGCTGGAGAGAATTGGCGTTGACGGCGACTCTGTAGCTCTTTACTTCCATGGTAAAATCCATAAGCAAACGTCAAACTGTGCGTGAAACACGGTGGACTTCATACTATCCTTTCACTCCACTGAAAATTCCCTTAAGAAACTGTCAATCTTTGCTAGAAGACGATTTTTCGGCGGTGCCGTCAAAGCCAATAGAGGCAAGTGTGTGCGTCGTTCTACCATGTTATACATAACAATCAAGGCAAATGCTTCCTTGTGTAGGTGAAAGCATATACAGAACACGGAATAAAAAAGATTAAAAATCATTACATCGTCTACAAGGTCAACTTCTAACATTCGCTACGATGTTCATTTATTTATTTATTTATTTATTGGGGGCGACCCCGGCGTAGTGGTCAACATCCATACCTCTCACGCCAAAGTCACGAGTTCAAATCTCACCCCCGGACAAGTCACGAATGACCCAAGAGTGTTAAAGTGACTATAATAAAAAAAATATTTATTTATTGATTGTTTAGTAAATCATCTGACAAACAGTCTTAATGAATATCTAAGTTATGTTCAATCTTCTTACTCTATTTACAAATCGAGACGTTGACATACCAAAATTGCCGGTGCCGGTTGTCGGTGCCACCGGGATGTTCTGAGGCATAACATCTCTGATCACGCCTTCCTTCGTAAGGGAAGTAAAGCCGTTGGTCCCCGGTTCATGAGTTGATGAGTCGATAGGTGGTAGGGTCCAGGTGTGGGAGCTGCCTTCCTGGTGTCCGGTAGCATTGGTGTTCAGCACGGAAAAAAAAGATCGACGGAAAACAAATCAAAGTAAAAAACAATGTAGTCTGGTTATAACCATACAGAGTAACGGAAACAGATTCGAAATTCAAATGTCATTAGCCAAATACATCCGTAGACCATAGGTCCACCGTTGTATAACTGGTAATGGGTTCGAATCCCACCGGAGCCCTCAGATTTTTTTTTTCGTAAATTTTCTCACGCACACGTCTCTTACCGATGATATGTGCTTACCTCTCAGAATCTTCTAACTTTCTTATAAACAAATTAAATTGACTACAAGTAGTTAACCGTAATCATGCGATAAAATCCCGACTGCATCAGGGACCGCTGACGTAATATCTTACCTGAAGCACGGAAGTCTCAAGGAGCGATAGAAGATACGAGCAATCGACGTCATCGTTGAGTAATTTAACTGACAAACGTAGCTTGTTGCAATTTTCGTCTTCGATCAAGCGTTTCAAGACCAAGCAGACGGCATCTAGCGGGATACGCTGGAAGGTTAGGCGGTTCACGCCATGGTAGATTCCTGAGAGCAAGCCGTATGAACCTTTTTGGACTCGCTCGATTCTTAGGTTTCATATAGCGTCGTTTGGAGCCCATACGAGTAAAGTGTTTTCTAGAATCGGTCGCACGATGAAACAATATAGCGCCTTTAGACAGTGTAGATCCGTGAAGTCCTTGGCAATTTTGGAGATAAAGCCAAGTTGACGGTTTGCCTTGGAAATAATCGATGCGTAATGGGAATGGAAAGAGAGCTTCGAATCCAACACAACACCAAGATCGGTCACATGGTCCACCCTATCAAGCACAGTATCATCGATGTGGTATTCATAAATTATCGGGTCTTGGGAACGATGAAAGGTCATCATGTGGCATTTTGCGATGCTGATGACAAGTTTATTCAAGCGACACCAGTGAACACACATGTTGAGCAAAATTTGCAGGTGAAGACAATCCTCGATGCAGCTGACGATACTGAGATATCTTTAGATCATCAGCATATATGAGCTTGCATCTATAGCCAAGAGAAGATGCAACGTCATTGAAAAATTTGACAAATAGTAACGACCCCAAATTGCTTCCTTGTGGGACGCAAATTGCGATGAAAGACAAGATCCGTGCTTAAAATGCAGCACCCTGCCAGTTAGATACGATGAAAAATATGACACCAGTCTATTCGAGGCTCCCAATCGTGATAATTTCCTGAGTAACATTTTGTGATCGATTTCGTCGAAAGCCACCTTAAGGTCCGTTTAGATTACGTCAACCTGCGCTTTTTCTTCCATAGCCGTAAAACAGGTGGTAGTTAGATCCAACAAATAAGTAGCTACGGACCTGCCGGGAATGAATCCGTGTTGATCGGTCGACATGTGGGTCTTTGTAGCACGCAGAATATGATCGCTGACGATGATCTCGAATAGCTTCGTAGCGGCAGAAAGGCTGGTTATCCCACGGCAGTTAGTGACAACTCGCCGGTCACCGCTTTTGTGCACAGGAAACATGTAAGACAGTTTCCAGCTCATGGGAAATTCTCCTTGCTCGAACGAGTGGTTGAAAATGAAGGCTAACGGCTCAGCTACTGCGTTTGCACAGCAACGGAGAACAACAGCAGCAATTCCATCCGGGCCAGGAGCAAATGAACTCTTCAACTTTTTTGACGCACCGATAATCATTGCAGCCAATATTTCGAACGTGTCCAGATCAACTGCGTCCAGCGATATGTTTTACGCAGCCAATTCGGCTTCGACGTCGGACGATGACTCTGCTTGGAAGACGGATGCAAAAAGAGTCGCGAAGAAATTACACGCTTCTGCTTCTCTCTTGGACTCCCTGCCGTCATAGACCACATTGGGCGGAATTGACGGATTTTTCCTCTTGCTATTTACGAAGCCTCAAAAGGATTTTGGATCCCGGCGTAAACCAAACTGCACCCGTAGAACGTGTGATTTGTAGAGTGCTGCATTCAACTTTCGGTAGTCATCACTCGGTCGTTTGAAGTTAGCTTTTGTAAATGAGGATTTATGGGCCCGTAAACGACGCTGCCATCGATTGCGTTCAAGTTTTGATTTTCGAAGCAGAGGCGTACTCCAAGGAGGCGAAACAGGTTTTCTCTTTATAACCTCTTACCCCTACAAAGGTTTGAGATGGACGATTTATCTTTAAGATAATTAAATTAAATGTAAACATTTTAACCATTTAAGCAAAAAAAACAAACTGGTTACATTTACAGAAATACATTCCCTCTAGAGTTCACAGTTGCTTCACAGCGATATAAATGTGGAAAAGCTCAGGCGTTTACCTTTTAGCTCGCCTTTTTGTCCACCTAAAATATTCATAAGTATTACAAACAATCAAGAGTTAATGAACAATCAACAAAGCATCCTATTACACTAGTAACCCCGCAATCTGATGCTATCATAATTTTCAGCAATGTCAGGAATGCTCACGAATCCCAAACATTTGCCAGAAAACTTACTAGGGTTAACTAACCCATTTCCGGCCTATTAAGCACAACCTGTACTTAGTCTTTCTTAATCTAGCGCAGTTTAGCACCCAACGGAATGTTATTATTATCGATGGCTTCCAATTGTATTTACCTTTCCAAATGTATCGTAAGATTTGATAAAGAGAAACCAATCGTTGAGATATTGTCAAAAATCTAGCACTGCTACTTGACGCCAAACTCGGCCTACGGATTCTAAACTTGGCCTAACGCATTGAAACGCCATTGAAATGCCAATGAATTCACTTCGGCCTATCGAATGAAGATAAAAATTGATTCGTTCAGAGCGCTTCTTTTGTTTTTGGGAATAATGGGTGAATCACGCGTTCTCATTGACTTCGTTCCGTAGATTATTTACTAAAGTATCGTATCAAACGCATAAATGACTTGTTAACTCTGAAATCATGGATTTATTTGAAGTTTTCTGCTCGATAGGCCCATAATGAGCGATTAGGCCGAAGTAGTTCTCTACCCTACTAACTCAAGGTATCTTCCAAATAAGCTTCAACATTGCATTTTTTTCATCAAATGTTAAATTCAGTCCTCTATATCCGTAATACGCGTGCGAAGCTCAAATCTGTGTAGACTACTATTTTTTTAATTAATCTACTATTAAATCAAATATTAAAAATCCATCATCACCATCCTGGCGAACAGAAATAGTTTTTGCAGTGCTACAATAATTATCCATATAAAATAATCCGTTAGAGATAACTTCGTCAAGATACATAATTTGTCAATTCATAAAAAAAAATCACTGAAAAGACAGTTTTAACGTGTGAAATGCAGTGTCTTTTAAATTATGTAAGTGTTGCTAAACGTTTGATATGTCTAGGCATCGAATTGAAACATTTATTCCTTTATAATATAATGCATTTTGTGAAGCACAAGTCAAGAAATGTGGTGTTCTTATTTC